GACAAACCTCTCGGGTGTGCACTCGCTCAAGCGACATCTACTCTCGTTTGAGCGATAATACGACAAAGCTCTCAGGTTTTTATTCGCTCAAGCGGACATCTTTTGCTTGAGTAAAAGTTGTTGTTTTCTGCTCAAGCAAATAATTGGTCGCTTGAGCGAATGAATGATACAAAGCCTAGCCCAAATTTTCCTATAAAAAGATAAGATACGTTTAGAGATGTAATTTTAGGTTTTGGGAGAAGAGGCGCGACTGTTGTTCTGTTCTTCAAGAATTCTTCAATTCTTCCTCAATTTAGAGCATTGTAATGGCCACCATGAGTGCCTAACTTCATTCTCCTAGGATTGGGTGCACTTCCTTGGAACTCTTTTATATCATTGTGATATTTTGATATTAATCTATGTTTTGATGTTGTTATTTTTATCTTTTGTGCTTTTGAATGATTTATTCTTGATGTTTGGGATATGATTGGAAAATATATCTTGAAACCCTAGATCAGGTAAGAATATTTGTTATGTTCATTACCAGGAATGAAATGAATGTATCAAGTGCTTAACACCCTAAATCTAATGCTAAAAAATCTTTTAACTGTGTGAGGAATCGATGTTTATCAGGTTTTTTTATGAATTTCACATGCGAGGAATCAAAGTGAATGATTTGAGTAGGTGACACTAATATTGATAGGTTAATTGATGTTCTTAATTTGACATAGTCGTTATGCAAAAGAGGGAAAAGGAAGGAAGTCAATCCTAAGTTCTTTTAATTGATATTTTCTAAACGCACTTTACAGTTTTTTGTCATTTATTTTCAACCCATATCTTTACGAAAAACCAATTTTGTTTTAATCCACTTAGTGTAAGCATATGATTTGGAATTTTCATTAAAATCGTTTCTCGTAGAATCGACTTTTATTTAATCGAAATACTATATTGTGATTGATAATTTTGGTATGCTTGCCAAATATTCAACATAACTCCAGTAATCTCCAATGCATGGTTATTTCCCATGAAGACAGATCCACCTAAGAATAGTTCATAAGTGTGAAACCAATCTCGGTGCGGAGTCATGTGTCATGTTGCACCTGAATCCACTATCCACTTGTCATGAAACTCCTTTTCACTATTAGAGTTAATTACTGTTTCACTCATCAGAATATTTCCATCTTCCGAGATACTTACAACACAACCTTGTGAGGTTGATTCTTCAGAGTTGTTTCCTCCATTCTTCCTCTTCCAACACTCTTTTCTCGTATGCCCTTTCTTACCACAAAACTAGCATTTGATTTTAGAACTCTTCTTACTCAAGCCATGTTCTGTTGATCTTCTTCTCATCATTGTCAAAGCCTCTACTTGTTTGGAACTTTCGCCCTTACTCATCCGCCTGGATTCTTCTTCAAGAATAGCTCCGGCGACATCTTCAAAGTGCATATTTCCACCAATATTATTATTTGTAATATTGATGATGAGTTGATCATACGAATAAGGTAAACTCTAAAGTAAAAGCTCTGCATGCTCATTTTCAACTATGTTGAAATCTGCTGCTAATAGTTAGGCAAATAAGATATTCAAATGGTTGATGTGATTCGTCACTGATGTGGACTCACTCATCCGAAGAGTATAGAGTTTTCTCTTCAAGAATATTCTTGTGTGAAGTGATTTCACCTCATATAGTTTAATGAGGGTATCTCAAATCTCCTTCGCATTAGTCTTTTCCGCAACTGGATAAAACCGAATTTGTCATTGATAAGTGGAAATTCGCAATAGCATTATTGTTCATTTCTTTCTACCGTCGTTCATCCGTGTGTTCCACGGTTCTTTCCGCAATTACATCAATACAATTGTCCTTCCTCAAAATTGTCTTTATCTTCAATTTCCACAATGAGAAATTACTCTCATTGAACTTCTCTATCTCATATTTTGTTGTCATGGTTCCAAAACCGACTTATGCAATCCTCACTATGAATAGTATTGCCTACTGAAACAACAATGGTAGACCGTGAACCAGTACACCTGGTAAGTTCCCAAGAAAGAGAGGTGGGTCACTAATGGACACGTTTAAATATCAAGTCTTTCCTTGCTAGAACTTTTCTTAAACATGCACTATCACACTACCAAATAATATCCAGTAACAAGAATAACTCTTTTCTGATGTGGAATATCAGATTAACCGCAACCACAGAGCATACTAATGACTCTTTTCTCCAACACTATTCTAATGACTATGCAGTAGAAGATAAATATCACAACCAAGTGGCTCTGATACCATGTTAGGTATCAGACAAAAGCATAAACACACACAACTAAAATAAAAAAATGAGAAAAATATCAATAATAAAATAGTAATTCCACTAATGAAAGAAATTATAATTTTTCTCTCTCTACCTTCAAAGAAGAAACAATAAAACTCTCTCCTGAAAATAAAAGAAAAACAACTCTAAGAAAACCTAAAAGCATAAACTATTTTTTCTCTTAATTTATCTTTTTTCTCTTAATTTATCTCTCAAATACTGAAGCAGCAAGAGAAAGAAAAATGAGTAATTTTTGTGCATCTTACAAAGTAAATACTGTGCTCCTTTTATAATAAGAAAAGGAAATACCAAACTAAGATTTCCTTGATGTGAGACTTTTCTTCTCACGTGACGTCACCTTTAATCTAAAATCTTAAGAAATTAGGTTATTAGTCTTTCTCACTTATAAATTTTCCATCCAATATAGAACTTCAAATTCATACTTAAATTCTCAACACTAATATCGTTGAAGTCATTTTGTAAAATTCTTTCTCCATAAATTTGATCAAAAGTAGGGCTTGCCAAAGTTCATTTGAAGTTCCTCAAGTTGTTTCTGTTTTTCAATCAGTCTTCGTGTAATATTACCCGATACGGTCTTATTCCAGTTTTTAAGTTCTTGTTTAAGAGCCTTCAGTTTCTGCATTAATATAGACATTGGGCAACCAGAATAAACATTAGTCCACACCTAATTATTATTCTTTACAACTTTGATCTTCAGACAGAGAGTTTATCTAACCGACCCTAAAAGGAGTTGAATACTATAACTATCCAAATACTTAGAGAAAATATTTTTGCAGTGTAGTGTCCGAGTATCTTGATAATATCTGACATATTAGGATTTGGACCCGTTCTGGATACAAGGAATTTACCTAAAAATATCCCCTATATAACATAATATATAATTATAAAATAATATCTGGTACATTTTAATCAGTTAGGATAATACATTCTTATATAAATAACTTTTGCATCTCTTCTATTTTATTCAAACATATCCTATTATTCATAAATTCACATACTGATTGAAGGATCTTGTATAGATATCTCTCTATTCAACACCTACTCAGCTTATTATCCAAACTCAAACGAACTCGAACGCCCTCTGGTATAATTTGAATTATGAGTAAAATTGCATATTATTTTGAAGCTAACCAGAATAGGAGTATGGTCAGAGTTGCACCTTTTTTCTCATGAGTCCCTGAGATTGCACGAAAATCCCGTAACACAAACCAATTATCAGTAGTAACCACAGGGATTTACTTGGCCAAAAATTATAATTATTAGTGAAAAGTGTAACTTTTTTTTACTTAAGATTAAAGCGGCATGATTCGATTCTGTCAATCTGTCCACTATCAACCAGATCGAATCGTGTTCTCGAATTGTCCGTGGTAAATGGGTAATCAAATCTATGATAATGTGATCCCACTTCCACTCAGGTATCTCTATTTACTGTAGCATTTCTCCCGATCCACCCGGTCTTCGTCACAAAATAATTAATGCTACTTGCAACAATTTCTCCTTATCAATTGTGCTAAGATCAATCTCATTTGGATTGTAACTTGACTCACCTAACCTCCGAACCTCCGACGTGAACAATTGTACAACCCGTAACACCATCCACGTGAGAAAAGTAACCGTACACACCAATAATATTAACCTCCTTCTATGTTTACCATTAATACTGTACAAAACTGAATTAAAGTCAACATCATCACGACATATACACCAAAGATTGACAATTTTTTCCAATGATGACATAATTTTCAATTAAAACCTTAATTTAAAAGTTAAAATATTAGGTTATGTGTTTTTTATAAGTTAATCAATTTTTTTATTTATATTCAATAATATGAGATTTCAAATAAATGAAAATTTAATAAAATCATTATCAAGTATATATATTAAATAAGTTAAATTAATTTATTTTTTATTTTACCAAAGAATTTTATTTCACGACCATACTCTACATGAAAAAAGCGTTAACATTAAAAAGTATAGATTTCACTTCAATTTATAGTTGATAGAAAAATCAATTAGTAATTTGTACTTGGTATTACAAAATATATATTAGTTTTGGTGCTTTGTACGTGCCTCTATTTTTGCAAAATCCTTACAATAAACAATTTTTTTTTACAATAAAGTGATTTAAAAAGAAGTTTATTAAATTTGGCGCCATCATACTATTTTATTTTAATTTTCTTCATTAAAAAATTTAATGGCCTGCTTATTATGGATTACCCTTTGTTTTAAATATTAAATGCATCAAGTGTTAAATTACATTATATCGATTAATAATATGACTCAAACCTAAATTTTATTTTCATAGCAGAACTTAATAAATTACAATGTAAAAAAAAAAAAAAAAACCTGCAATTTTCAAACAATGCAAAAGGTAAAATAAAGTTACGCGTCCACATTACAAAACTACGGCTACATATTAAATAAACTCACTCTAAAACTATCATGTTTAATAGAAATTGAGTAATACTACGAAATACATCAAAATATTACACTCGATCATTACAAATTGAAAAATTGAAATTTCAATCATGAATAAACAATATTACTCGAAGAGAATGAGTAATATGAGAAAATGCATCACAATCTTACACTTCAGTGATTACAGATTGAAACTGAAATTCCATTCAATTTCTTTAAGATTCAACGAGAAACATCGAAAAAGGGTATCTCACTGTCCAAGAGTTGAGATAAAAGCTAGTAACCATAATAATAAGGTTGTACACAAGCAGGTAAAAATCCTAGAAAACCTGCTTGCATTGGAGGTGAGAAAGCAGGAACCCCATGTGGAGTGAATTCGATGTAACCTTCAGTGTGAACAATGGGGTTGCTTTGTCCAAGGGCATATCCATAAACTTGATCAGGAAATGTAGCTGGATAACCATAGGCATAAGCAGGGACTCCACTGCTAGGGTTCATAGATACTGCATGAGGATTTTGCCAAGCTGTTCCTGGAACTTGTGGAACAGACACACTGTGTTCAGGCCTTGCATAGTCTCTACTTTTCTCACTATAAGGCTAAAACCAAAACAGTTAATACCCAAATCAAATTCAGCTATATATAATCATACAAATATTAAAGTATTAGCTAGGTTTAATTGACTTCAATTTGTTCTTTTATTTTTTTTCTTGAATATAATCCCCTATTATATTAATCAGTTTATCTATGAACTTTATAAATGTGTTTGGACGAACTTTTATGTAAACCTCCATCACCATCTAACCATCAACAACACCTAAACTGTTGCTAACCAGTAATGCTAGTGGTGCTTCAAACTTCAGTAGGCCGTTTGAAGAAGGGAAGTTTTGAGTGTCATCAGCAAGGCATTACAACATTTTTCTTCACTCATTTTTATAGACAGACAACTAAGGTTTTCTAAAGATGGGAGACATCATATGTCTGTGTGTAATCTCCCTTTGTTAACTCTTTCGTAAAAACTCATTGTGTTAAATGATGGTATAAGTAGAGTCACCAACTGAACAATTAGGGTGACTGATCTTAACACAGGTAGTAAGACAAGGAAGAGGTGGGGCTGTCAAGAGATGGCAAGTAAAAAATAAAGTGAGTGAGGTTGACAGAGAAGTATGGAAGGGACCAAAGTGTTAATGAAAAAAACCTAGAATTGGTGAAGCTAAGCATGGTAAGAAGACGTGAGACTAATACCATTATATATGTGGACCGATGAATAATGGTTCACAAAACTTGGTTTTGTGTGTGGTAACTTTGTATGAACCGATGAAGGTACTGGAAGCTTTATCCTGTTTCTAATTGTCAAGTAGTGATAAAGATTAATGGAATATAGCACAAGGTTGGTGGAGGAAAGCATCATGCAGGAGGATATCCAAATAAATCAGTCAAGTATGAGAAGGGTTCTGATAAAGAAAATGTTCACATTATTTCTAGGAATAACTTTCCCCTATTTAAGATTATAATTTATAACTCTTACCTTTACATTGATATCAGTGTGATGAGAGTATGACACATGAATCTTACAATAGCCACCATCGTATATGCAGTGCCCCTCTAGAGCTTCTTTCGCAGCTGTTGCCGTGGCCACATCTGAAAAACAAATAAAAAGTTATATGATTTCTTAAACAAAAGGAATGCATGATTGTCCTAACAAAACACAATGCAAATTTCATTCTATTGTATGAACAAAATTATGACATGTCTTAGGTTAAAACATTATGGAATAGCAAGAGTAGTGTTTAGTTTATCTGATATAATAATTCACTTTATTAAACTAAAGGCTTAAAATAGTGCATTTTTGTACCAAACCCTAGGACTATATATTAAATAAGAATGAACACAAATTCAAGATTTGAATTGTCCATCCTTTGACAAGAAACCACCATCCATATTCAACATTAGAGCATAAGGAAAATCATATTCACATTCCATGAATTTGAAACACGTGAAACACCACTGATAAAACCTAACTACACACATATAAGAAACAAAATAAAGGAATAGTTTTTGAATTTGAAATACATATTAAAAATTAAGGAATACCATGATACTGAATTAGTGCGTGAGATCGAGTGTTCTTTTTAAATATATAAATTTTGTGAACAGGTCCAATTTCAGAGAACACCTGTAACATATATGCCAATTACATTAGTATAAGTTAATCAATCTCTTGTAAATTTGAATGAGATTGAACAATACAAATTTAACTCACCCCATGAACAACATCTAAAGTGAGATAATGGAGCATATTTTCAAATGAAGCCAAAAGCACATGATTATCAGCAGGTGGAGGCATTGGCTGAACATCATTAATTGTTAGCACATATTAAAAACAAGAAAAACATAAATTCATTAGAGAAAAGTATAATAAATACCTGTACTGCCCTACCAATGGTAGCCTGATTAACAGGAAGCGCAGCATTTGTGTAATCCCTTTGAAGTCATAAAAATGTATATCAATGTAACCAAGCAATGACATAGAACAGTATCTAGAGAGCATTTAAAATGATATTTCAATTTTTAATGTGGCCATGCAAACAATGCCATGCAAGAATAGAAGCTTAAAAAGAAGGTAGGTACTTGAATGTATATATATATACTCCTTCTTACTGTAAAAAACATGCTTATTCATTCATGCAATTATGCTGAAAGCAACAATTAATTACAATTTCACACAGAAAGGATATTCTAGAAAGCCATTTGCATACATGATTACATAATTTACATATATGTTTTGTCTTCCTATTTCTCCTTCCTTAATTAGTTTGATTTTGTAAAACAAGGATTCAAACTTGATATGATAAGAAGGAAAGTAACCAGAGATTAGAAGAACAAAAATTATACTTTTTTGAACCATTGAAATCATAGCAAAACTACAAGTTGTGCTTATACAGATAATATAGAAGGTAGTTCTGCATTTTTGAAATACAAATTGTTTCCATAATAAATATCGTGGAGATTAAATTGCATTAAGGATATATTAACTCTCTAGTATAATCAAGAAAACATACCCAGATGAAAAATAAAATTCCTTGCTCAACCAGTTTCCACAAAGATATGCAGAAAAATACTCAGTTCTCATTAGTTAGCAAAAACACAATTACATTCAGAATACTGAGTTCCACCAACACTTCAATGACAAAAGGCATATATATATATATATATATATATATATATATATATATATATATATATATGACACCATGATGAATTACAAGAAATGTCCTTCACAACCTAGATATGAAAGTTGTCTTTGATGTTCCTTATTACCTGCTACGATTAGACTGGAACTTAATATTAAGATCTCGATACCCTGAGTATACAATGCGTAAGTTACCACCATTAATATGCTCTGGCAGCATGTCCCTGGATACAAAAGCATAAGCAAATCAGAAAAAATTAAGATTTATCAAGCAATTGATCACCAAAATCAATTCGTGATGAAGATGAACAAATTAATGAGGAAATGTAAAAGCATATTGCTTGCCTAGGTATGCTTTTTCCGTCCAGTGCCTCTTTAGCAGAAGAAGCAGTTTTAATATCAGCATACTGAATCAAAGCCTGCGCAGTAATAACAGCTAATAATATACAATGAAAAATGTATTTACATGCTACGTAGAGATTCATCACGACCACGTGATCAAAGACTACTTACTATATCATAACAATGACACATTGAAAGAAGCTTGTATCACTGATTCGCTAACCTTGAAACCTGCACTCTTTTCGAACGTTGAAATTTTTTGTACGAAACCATAATCAGAAAAGACCTGAATAAAGAATAAAGAACAAAGAAATATTATACAAAGACAAATATTTAAGCTGAAGTCAAACCAAAGAATGCGATGTTCAAACCAGTCATAGAAATAGAAAAGTTATTTAAGCTGAAGGGAAAATTTTACTCAAACTAGTAAATATCCTAAAATTATTTATGATGTTTTATTTATTACATTATTGAATAGTTGTTAGTGTTGTTCCTATAATGAAAAGAAGATACACACCCTCTTTTAAAAATAATGATTGTATAATTTTGAATTATAATAATTATGAAGTTATTACAGTTGAAATATGGGATAATGGTATCTTCAATTAATTTAAATCAAGTGAATTTAATCAACCAAAGACTACGAGTTACAATTTTAAAATCCAACTTATATCACGGAGTGATCATAAAGGTGAGAAAAAATAATGAGATAGTTTGATAGGAAGATACAAGTATTCTATCATTCTAATTAAAGTTTTTTCCTTTTTTTAATCTACTACTTTGTCTCGTTGTTTAAATATTTTTGTTTATAATTTTTTTTTCATTTTTTCACGCACCTATTTTTCTCCATTTGTATGTTCATTTTTTATGTAATGACTTATTATTTAAAAATTTTATTTCCTTTATATTAGTTTTAAAAAATAAATAATAATTTATGTGATGAACAAGATCAACTTTTTATTTAAAGTTTAGTAATAGATATAATAATATTTAATTAATTTTTATTTGAGAAATTTTCTTATTTTATTTTTAATTTTTATTTGAAATGTGATAATATTTTTTTAATAAATGTTTTATTTTTACTTTTTGTAGTCTTGATTGAGAAAATATTTGTATTCTTTCATGTTCTAGATAAAATAAAATATGCAACTATCATATATTCTTCTCTTTAATATTTTCTTTTATTTTGTTTAATTTTTATTATTTTAAATTTTATTAACGTTGATATTAAAATGATGTAATTATAAATTGAATAAATTTTTTCACTTGTTCTATTATGAAATTAAGAAATAAGACGTAGTTGCTAAATCTTCCCTTCAAATCAAGTTCCATAGTGTTTTAAAAGACTTAAAGTGACGTCACAACAATTTTGTTATTATTGCCAAAAATTCAACCTTAAATGGGATAATTAAGCATATTAATGTTAATTTGGAGATGTTAATTATTGCATTACATGTCTAAACAGAACATTGTTGTAATTTTAATTAAATCACTTTTAATGAATTAAGAAACAACTTGGGAATCTTAAAAAAAAATGAAGAGTGTTAAATTCATTATCTGTAAATCACTTCTAATGAATTATAAGAAACAACTTGTATTGTATTATTAATGTTAATTTATGAATTTAGTCTAATTTTAGATAAATTTATATTTTTAATACAGTAAGTACGTAACTTTTTTTTTATAACATTTACATGAGTATGAACTGTCATTTCCCATTTATTTACTCTTAAGTATACATCATAGTATAAAGAATTATATGAATGTGCAACAAATACTAATATTATTCTAGTTCTTATGTAAAAGTATATATATATATATATATATATATATATATATATATATATATATATATATATATATATATATATATATATATATATATATATATATATATATATATATATATATATATATATATATATATATATATATATATATATATATATATATATATATATATATATATATATATATGTATGTATGTATATGTATGTATATCAGAATTAGAAGTGTGTAATGAATTCGAAGCTCTCAAGAATCCAAATTAAGTGGATAACTAATTAAAGTAGGACTTACGGAACTGATGGCATCAATGCTTACATCTCCAGCTTTCACGTCTTCCATGGTTATGAGCAAGATATTTCCTTTGATCTGCCAACCACAATTTCTGGTCTATCAGAAAGCTGAACGTAAATTTTTCTGCCATGAAGCTTAACGGGATCTGAAGACGAAACATAGTTTGAAACCATTGAAATGGCTTCACTTATATCTCCCTGGTAAAACATTTAAACTTAACATGTGAGAAGTTTGAAAAATCTGTTAGACAAAGTCCATATTTCATTATAATTGTTATGATTATTCATCAATGTATATCTTCTTGTCAACTGTTATCTCCGAAGAGTTCTGATTAGAGAAAAAGAATTTAAAGAACATATATGAAATCCATTCGTGGAAACTAATAGATCATGGTCTGCATATATTTTCCTATTGAACTTCACTTGCATTATTTACCATCATATCCATCCATTTAACCTCATTTATCTTCCAAAAATGCAAATCTAAGAAGGTCATTACATTCTATTCTAAAAATTCTCCACCACTATCAATCTTCATAATGGAGTCTCTAGTTGAATCTTCTTTAATAAAGACCTAGGAAGCAACATTGCTTAATCACACAACACTAAATTTTAATTGTTTATGTATGTTTTGTATGACTATATTTAATGTATATACATATACAAAAAATTCAAGACAAAATATCCATCAATTCTTTTGATTTACTACATCTATTTTAAGTATATCATAATTTTAATTTTAATTTAAAAAATAGATCTCTTATGTCTTCTATCACAATATATTTCTCCCTTTTTCTTGCACTCTGCATTCACTTAGTAAAAGTTAATACAAAAGGAGAGAGAGAAAAAAAAGGAAATAATGGATTGATGAAATGAATAAATTGTTTAATATTATCAAATTAAACGAATGAAAATAAACGACTATTTTTTAAATTGCTAATGCATTTCAAATAAAAATAGTGTGTGTATGCATGCTTGTGTAATGTGGAGCAAAATGAGAAAAATAAATGTCTCTTTTATCACCATAGAAACAAGAGACCATGATGGGATTCACATAGAATATTTGTAAACCATCAAATGGTTTTGTGATTTGAAGAAGGTTGTTTGGTACTATGTCGTAATTGACACCAACGGAGATTTAGGGTTTGTCTGTCATAATATTGTGGTTGGTGTCTTGGATTTGGGTTGAAAATTTTCTAAAATGTGAATTTGGGTGGAGACACACCATCATTGTCAAAAACCATTTAAATGGTGATTGGTGAAGAATAATCTAGTATGACCAAAAGGATAAGATTGATTTAGCAGCTCAAAACCATAGTCCACGATAGATCTATTAACATGGTCCATGTAACAAACCATTGTAATACACATGTATATAATTTTGGTTTACAAGACAAGTATATCGAGTTTGTCTCACTCAAATAATAGAACATGAAATTCACAAACGTATATAGTTGTATGAAAGAACTTACAAACTCAACAAAACCCTGGTTCTTGTTGGGGCCAACATTGCACAATAGATTAACAACTTTACCGAAAGGACTACACAGTCCTATGAGATCTTCAGGAGAGCACTGTTGAGGAAGGTTTCGGAGGTGCACCACCTTCGTAGCAGACACTCCTTCGTCAATTCCGAGGGAAGAAGCCATGGAATCAGGGAAACGACGAAAGTGTTTGAAAGGTCGGAGAAAAATGTGTTTGAGATTCTGAGAAACGTTTGAGAGTGATTATAATGTGTGTCTGAAGAGTATATATATTCACAGATAGATACGTAATTGAACAATACACGTGATAGATAGAGACAAAGATTTTTTATTTGATTTTGGTTTTTGGGGAAATTATTTAATACATTGAATATATATAGGTTTCTCTTTTAAAGACATTTATTTTTATTTTATGTATTTTGAACCTTAAAATAAAAACCATAATAGGTTTTATATAGTTAGTTGAAGTAAAAGTGAATTATGTATGATATTAAATTATGGAATTTAATAACGTTTAATGTCTTTTTCTTTCATTTTAATGTTTTTTTTTTCTTTTTACTTTTAAAGTTTTTTTTTCTATTTCTCTATAACATCTTGTTTGGATTAGATGAGTGAAAAAAAAATGAATTTGAGGAAAAAATAAGTAGAAGTGTGGTTGTTTGGATTAACCTAACAAGATGATAAGAATATATAGGGAAATGAGAATGAAATTTGTAAGTGATTTGATGAACGTGAACGATAAAAAAAATATTCTAATAAAAAAATATAAAAATGACCAAATTGTCCCTTTACGATAATCAATCCTCAGTGCTATAAAATCAATTTTATGTACTAAAGAATTGATTTTGTGATAGGACACTGGTATAAATGTATACAAGGTGGAATATCTTTTTCACTTCATCTCCTCATCCACCAATACAATTTATTAAAATGGGTGGCATAGTCTTATAAAAATTATTGATAATCTAGTCTTTCTTATATTTTTAAATAGATCATAATTTTCATCTTAATTTTATTATGTGTAAGTTAATAGATTAATAGACTATTTTTTACCTAATTGAAAATAAATAAAAAAATTGTTGGCTTCTTCTTCCTGTATCCATGTAATATCTTTCTGTATTCGATAAACCATATAAAATTACTTAAATATCTTTCACTATTTTTCTTTGAAATCCTTCTTCTCGTCCGTTTTTCTACACCTTCATATTTCTTTTCTTTGAAATCCTTCTTCTCGTCTGTTTTTCTAAACCTTCATATTTCTTTTGTGATTCTATAATTCATGTAATTTTGTTTTGTTTTGATTTCATTTTCATTTGAATATTGTTTTCAAATCAAAAAATGAGAAATTTTTAATGTTTTATACGTTTTCCATGAAAACTAGATTTAAAGTGAATATAAGGATGTATTATTGAACCTAAAAATGAATTCTAAACATATTTAATTCAAAATGTATTTTCGAAAAAGTTAATCAGACTTAAATAAATAAACTAAAATATATCTGATTTAATTTAAACTATAAATTTTTTAATCTACTTTAATTTATTTCTCAAATCATCCATTAAACCTGTTTTAACACACATATTCATCAAATATCTCTATCACTTCTCTTCCTCGAACACATTCACTCAAAATAACACACAAAAATCCCTTGTTTTCTCTCTACCTAAATAATACATCATTGCGTAAAAATTACTTATTGTTACTGTTTAACCGTTTATCTGACCGGAATTGAATTCAATTTTTTCTTTTAGAAATATCTCAAAATTGAAGAAAAACTATGCACTAGTAATGATCAAATAGGATTTTAATAAAAAAAATATGTAAATTTGCTAAATATTTTAAATCTATAACATAATAATCTAAATTTTTTTGGCATTTTATAAACACTTATTCTATTACTCCACACTTTATCAAAGTAATTTCTCGTTTTAATACAAAAAATACCTTCATAGGTATAACTCAGCGCAAATTTTAGCTTAATAATTAATACATATTAGATATTGTTTAGATATTATTTAATATTGTTAAGATATTGTTAGATATTAATCATAATATCAAACAATATCTTCTGTTTATTCTGTTACTTTCAGTTACTCTTTTAGTTGTATCTCTCTACTATAAATAGACTACCCTATGTGTGATTTATACACAAGGGAGATTAATCCAAAACTCTATTTCTTCTATATTCAACATGGTATCTAGAGTTTAAGGTTATTTTGAATTATTTTTTTCGCCTTTGACCACTATTTAAGCCGTCACCACCGCCACTATCGTTGTCGGTTATTTGGTAGTGTGAAAGTGCATGTCTAGGAAAGTTCTGACAAGGAAAGACCGTGTCCATTAGAGACCTACCTCTCTTTCCTGGGAACTTACCTGGTGTACTGGTTCACGCCGCTGTCACTATCGCCTCCGCCCTTTATGAGTTCTTCCGCTCCTTTTAGTACTTCCAATTCTGTCAATACTGCGTCTGATCCGTCCATCTACACTAACTATGTTAATGTGCACTTATCCATTGACAAGTTAACTGGCCATAATTATGCCACATGGTCATCCAAACGTCAGATTATGGCTTAAGAGTCAGAAGTATCTTGATCATCTTGCCCCGAAAGCACCTACTCTCACTCCTGGTGAGGAAGACCGTTGGGACACCATTGATGCTCAATTATGTGTGGTTCTTAAGGGTACTCTTGAAGCTTCGTTAAAACAAATTTTTTGTTCCTACGAAACATGTGCCAAAATCTAGGAACATGCAAAGTTATTATACACCAATGATACTCAACGTCTTTATGATGTCTGTTCTAAATTTGTAGATGTTATTGCCTCTAAACATCAAGATTCTATGACTGATTATATGGGCAAAATTCATGCTCTTTTTCATGAGTTCAATGATTTATTGCCTCCTTCCCCCGACCCTGCCACCGAGATAGGACAACGATCAAAGTTCTTCATGCTAGGGACATTACACGGACTTGCTGATCAATATTCACATATTCGTGATCAGATTTTGGGTTCTCCGGTTGTCCCCACCTTGACATCGACCTGCTCCACTCTTTTGCGTATACCAGCAAAACCCAACCCTGACACACCTGCTTCTGTTAATGATTCTTCTGCATTGGTATCTCACCGTGATGATCGAACTCGCCCTCACAAACAGGGAAAAGGACATCCTAAGTGTGAACATTGTGGCAAGCTAGGTCACAAGATTGACCAGTGTTATGCATTACATGAGTGTGAACATTGTGACAAACTAGGTCACAAGATTGACAAGTGTTATGCATTACATGGTCGTCCTACTCGATCTACTATAGTTGCTCAGACTGATCTTTCCCCCCCCCCTTTATCTGCTAAGGATCCTCCTTCTTCTATTTCATCAGACACACCTGCTATGTTCAACAAATTTCTCAAATGGTATAAGGATCAACAGTCTTCTAGTTCCACTGTGTCTGTCGCACACACAGGTGCATCTTTTGCTGGTCTGACCCAATCTTCTTCTGGTCCTTGGGTTTTTGATTCAGGAGCCACTGATCATATTACTGGTAACAAATCTTTGTTCTCCTCTTTATCCTCTCCTGATCTTTTACCTTTTGTTACACTAGCTGATGGCTCTAGAGTATCATTTCATGGTGTTTAAACTTTTCTCTTCTTTAACCATTAATAATGTTCTTTATGTCCCTTGGTCTCCTTTTAACCTGTTATCCATCAGTCGTCTAACTCGTTCTCTTGATTGTGTTGTTTCTTTTACCAGCAATTATGTGTGTTTACAGGACCGGAGTTCGAAACAGGTGATTGGCACAGGATGTGAGTCTCATGGTCTTTATCATCTTCGTCCCTTTACACATGTTGGTGCAGTTATAGAGTCTCCCTCTCTTCTCCATGCTCAGTTAGGTCATCCAAGTCTTGCCAAGTTACAACAACTTGTCTCTGCCTTATCTAAATTGTCTAGTTTGGCATGTGAGTCGTGTCAATTAGGCAAACATAGTCGTACTTCCTTTCCTCGTAGTGTCACACGTGGTGTTTCGTCCCCTTTTGCCGTGGTTCACTCTGACATTTGGGGACCTAGTCGCGTTAAGTCTACTTTAGGTTTTCAATACTTTGTTACTTTCATTGATGATTATTCTAGATGCACTTGGTTATTTTTGATGAAAAATCGTTATGAATTATTTCATATCTTTCAAACTTTTTTCAATGAAATTCAAACTCAGTTCGGTGTTTCTATTAGAGTTTTGCGCAGTGATAATGGTTGTGAATATCTTTCTCATTCTTTTAAACAATTCATGGCTTCTCATGGTATTTTGCATCAAACTTCTTGTGCTTATACACCTCAACAAAATGGTGTAACTGAACATAAAAATAGACATCTTATTGAAACAACTCGCACTCTTTTAATTCATGGAGAGGTTCCTCAGCATTTTTCGGGTGATGTTCTTCTTACTGCATGTTATCTTGTTAATCGCATGCCATCTTTGGTTCTAGATAATAAAATACCTCATTCCATTTTATTCCCTCATGAACCACTTCATCCCTTACCTCTAAAAGTTTTCGGGTCTACATGTTTTGTTCATAATTTTAGTTCTAGTTTTGATAAGCTTTCTCCTAGATCACATAAATGTGTTTTCTTAGGGTTTACAAGATCATAAAAAGGATACAAATGTTTTTCTCCTTCTCTTAACCGTTATTTTGTGTCTGCAGATGTCACCTTTGATGAGTTCTCTTTTTATTTTAAAAGTCAATCTTCACCTCTGCTCCATCCAATCTTGTCAACACTCCTAGTACATTTAATGTTCCTGTTGTTTATGACCCTCTAACTGTGTCTTCTTCACCATTAGATTCTACTCCGCAGTCAGCTTCTTCTTCACTGTCTCTTCAGGTTTATAGTTGCTGAAACCAATCACAACCACCACCATGTGACTCTACTCAAGTGTCAACTACTATGTCTCCTCCGGATGTGACACCTGAGTCTGACCTTCTCATTGCCCTCCGAAAAGGTATTCGTTCTACACGTAATCTCTCTCCTCATTATATTGGTTTGAGTTATCATCGACTGTCATTACTTTTTTATACATGTCTTTCCTCTCTTTCTTCTGTGACCATTCCAAAAATTGTCCGTGAAGCTTTAGCCGATCCTGGTTGGCGTCAGGCCATGTTAGATGAACTAAGTTCTCTTC